TACATTTTTCTTGCATTGCTCTTGAACACTCCTCAATCATCTTAGATATATATATCTATATATAGATATATATATCTATATATATTTATAGTGTGTGTATTTTACAAGGCAGTGACCTGCCCTCCTTGTAAAATGATATTAAGTTGTTGGCGTGATAAGGAGAGATGTCTTGTGTGAGCCAATCAATAAGTGAAATCTTTCAAACCGATCTGTCCTGCCGGAATGTGATGAACAGAGCGTCAAGCCATTGATTTTCAGTTTAAGGGTTTGTCATGAATCATGAAAGGTTTTTAGTCCTCATTTGAACTAAGGGTTGTAGCCTGCTGAATCCCAGCTCACTGGTCTCTTTGAGCCGATATTGCAGGAATATCAGCGATCTCAAGTGGCAAGGTCTACACATGTTAGTGATGGACTCCTCTGGGCTGTAAGCGCGAAGATACCTTTGATGGTTCATTGTTACTTTGTGTTTGTGATTCCTGAGAGCCGTGGCCAGGGCATACGCCTCTGATCTTCCCTTACTGTTCCACAAAATCTCACACGTGCTACGTCATAACAAATGGAAGTTAAAAGGAACAATAATCCTGAGAAAGGATATCAAGGTTTAGATCCTTCCCCACAGAGAGACAGATATCTAGGTTGACATTCTGACCGTTCTTAAAGAAGGTCAGGTATTTACGCTTAAAATATATGCTTAAAGAGAAATTGAGGACCCTTTTTTGTGTAATTACTTTCTATTATGACTTTTATAAATGAAAAGCTCACTCATCCATAATTGCATTTCACATGTTGTATTTTGAAATCGGAATCCTCGTTAAATAAGTATTAGAATAAACTTAACAGCAGGATAAGCCAACTTGGGCTTTTATTGCGACCAATAGATGGTCCCTATTGGACCACACTATGCACATACACATATAAACACACACGCATGCGCACACACATTGCAAATAAAAAATAGAATCAAGGTTTCTAAACCGTTATTGAAATATATTGTTCTTATATTGGTAGATTTATTCACATCAAGATTACAAATATATATATACATTTTTCTAATAAATAAAATTCTGGGTTCACCAAGACATGAATTATCTTTATAAAAATATAGGGTAATATTGGTAGAGTTGCAAACAAGTAATGGCTCTTTTCTGCTATTAATTCGTACAGTTGAGGCACATTTGACAACCAACATCTGAATGCCTTACTCTTCAGTAGGAAATCCAGTTCTCAGTAACAGTTGCAGAATTTGTAACATGGTCAGAGTTACATTTACACAGCCATAATCACTTTTACACATTTGCCACTTTATCTTTGATTTGCCATTGATTTTTTAGATCTGCAGCACTCCATCATCTAAGCCAGTTGTCTCCAAACTGAGGCCTGGGGGCTGGACGTGACCCTTTGCTTGTCTTTATCCTGCCCTTGGGGCACTATTCTTCTCACTGATACAATGCACTCTTCTTCCCACTGTCACCAACAATGGGGCATAATTCCTGTCACTGATATCAACAGTAGGGCACTACTCCTATCACTGACCCCAACAATGGGGCACTATTCTTCCCACTGACACTAATGATGGTGCACTATTTCTCCCACTGACACAAACGGCAGGGCACTAATCTTTCCACTGACACCAATGATGGGGCACTATTCCTACCCCTGATACAAACAATGGGGCAATATTCCTCCCACTAGAATCAATGATGGGGCATTGTTTACTCCCATTGATGCCAGGGCATTTTCTACTCACACTGGCCGCAGTCGGGCCCTCTCAAAGTCTGAAGGACGGTAAATTGGCCCTTTGTTTAGAAAGTTTTGAGACCCCTGATCTAAGCATATTATTGCACATTCAGCATGTAAGAAAGGAAGAATTTAGCCACCTGCACCCCTATAAAGTTAATTTCTGCTAAAAACAAATGTACCTGCGTTAATCAACCATTTCCAACAATTTATACATTTGCCCCATGGTGTCGATAGGTCCTAAAACTCTATCTCTTCCTCAAGGCATTACAAGAAGACAATGTGCCCGACTGCATGCATGAAGCCAATGAGACAAAGAACAGAAGTACTTATCTCAATATTTGCTTCAGGTCAATGACTCAGAACATATTATTTATTTATTTATTTTCAGGTACTTATATAGTGCTGTCAATTTACGAGCTTTCCATATATATTGTACATTCACATCAGTCCCTAACCCTCAAGGGGCGTACAATCTAAGGGCCCCTAACTCACATTCATACATACACATACTAGGGACAATTTAGACAGGATCCAATTCACCTACCAGCATGTCTTTGGATACTACAGCCAAAGCCTCATAATAAGAACCAGGCAACTAGTATTTTCAGCAACGGCAACCACCATATTTCTCTCTTGACAGCCTTCTTTCAATCAGTATTTCCAGTGGCAGGGAAACTGTGATTATACTCCATAGTAATGAAGATAAGGGGGTTCATGAGAACAAAGATTCCCAAAAGAGCCTTATGCCTAGTACACACAATGAGAAAATTGGAAGAAAAATACTGCTTTCAAAGTGATCATCCAATAATCTGATTGCTAGTACATAGATTTTCGAGAGCCGATCACGACAGTTCATGGAAAATTATTTGAAGGGACAAGCATAAACATTTTTCTCGTATGTTAACAGAATGAATGATTTTTGTTTAATCAGTACAGTATTCAGTCTGTAAAAAATTGAACGACCAAGACCACACATGCTCAGAAACAAAAGAATACATTACAATACAATACAATACATTACATCACTTCCAAAGTTGTATTCTGTCATACGAGAATTTTTGTAACTTTAGAAACCTATTCATTTTTGATATGAGACTAGCATGCAAAAGAAAGAAAAACAGATGATCATTCGTCCAATATTCTCATTGTGTGTACGCTGAACACAGGCAGTTCATGTTACCTGGTCTATCAATGTAGCAGAGCAACTTCAGATTCCACTCTAGATCTTTACATTACACGTTGGCTGCTGCTGTGCCCTTTGCAAACCCCCATTCATCTGCCTCCATTATGTGACAGATTCTAAATTGCATTGTTGATGCATACATAGCTAAGTCATCTCTTGCATCTGTGCCTCTTCTAGCTGCTGCATATTAACAGTTCACTGTGAAAGGTACAGTATATACTGATTTCAGGGAACAGCATATTCCAGAAATGCCTATTATGTTTAATGAAACAAGACAGAGAATAAATGCCTTCTTGGAACCCCTTTTTTAAGTTTATCCCTAGACAAAACTTTTTTTTTTGGACGGCGCAGGGAACATACAGAACATCTGTTGGTTATTTATGGCTTTCTGTGTTCTCATATGAGAATTTTTACCCTCACAATTAGGGGCGGACTGACAACTCATGGGGCCCCCGGGCAATAGGGGATCATGGGGCCCCTGTGTCCTTGCCCAAACTCAAAAAAAAAAGCCTATGAAAAAGGTACCAGGGGCATCTCATGGGGCCCCCTACTGAACCCCGGGCCCTCGGGCAGTGCCCGAGTTTCCAAATGGTCAGTCCGCCCCTGCTCACAGTTTATGATAGTAACCACTGTCATTTTCACCGATAGTCCAGAATGTAAACAGAATGGGAAGCTAGGGAAAATCTTTTAATGGGGACACTGGTGCTAGCATCAACTATCCAAGAGATGACTTATCCTCACTTTGGATTGAAATCCTCTCGCTTTCTTTTGTGCCTCTGCAATTAAATAGTTATATAGTTAGTCTGGCTGAAAAAAGACAAAAGTCCATCCAGTTCAACCATAAAAAAAAAAAAAGTTATAATCCTATACCCACAGTTGATCCAGAGGAAGGCAAAAAAACCTAGCAAAGCATGATCCACTGTGTTCCTTCAGGGAAAAAAAATCCTTCCTGATCCCCTGAGAGGCAATTGGATATTCCCTGGATCAACTTTACCTATAAATGTTAGTATCCAAAATGGGACACTGCAGAGGAAATAAAAACTGAGAGTGTTCTAATCTAAAAAGTTTTAGTTAAGGTAAAAAACTAGGGGCAACATTTCTGTCATTTTGGATAAAGTAAGGGAGGAATATTTATTTACTTGATTAACTTTTTTGCCATCTGTGACCTTATGGTCCCACAACCAAAACAGAAAGGGAGAAGAAAATCCTTCCAAAGTGAGGAAATCCTTGGTTGTCAGCAGAACTAGTGTCCCCATTGGAAGATTTACCCTCTATTCCTGTTCTGGGGATCATTCAAAGTTTGACATTTTTTTAAATCACTTTAATTAATAACAGTTACTAGGACAAATAAAGAGTGAAAATTTCCCTACGGGGCACAGACAGCAGTAAAAACGTATAATCATAAATCCCCAGCGCCAAAGAAATAAGTGTACCAAATTAATAAAATTAAAATTAAATGCTGCTGTACATAAGTGCAATATACACCAAAAAACATAAAAACATCATCAAATCAATCATCAAAACAGCGCAAATATTTAAATATAAATGATATATATATATATATATATAAACAAATAGTCCCACTCCAAAACTCATGAAAAATTGTGAAAAAAAAAAATATAAAGTGCCAAAGAACAAAAAATAAAAAAAAATAAAAAAACAAAAAGAAGTCCTTGTTCCAAAGAAGTGTGCTTCCACCATAAATCAGTGACAGATTACTGTCATCTACTGCTTAGCTGAGGAATTTCTGGTTCATATTCCTGGATATACTGAGGTTTTGAACGCCTGTGGAGGCAATTAAAACATGCTTTTTTACAATCTATGCAATGTGAGTGGCCTGGTGTTTTGTTAGTATTGCAAACTGGGTGTTGTTGCAGTATTACACTATGTGTGTTTTTTTTCTCCTCCTGCAATACTTGGAGCATTTCTGGGAGGAGAAGAGTGGAGGTGTTGGCAGTTGGAGTAAAGGTCTCTTGTGGTGGAGTGGTGCCCTGGAGGCTTATCGGAAGGGTCTAGGATCCCTAAAATACCTAAAAGGTGCATATTTCCCCAGAATCTGGTGAGTGCGGTATATGTTGGTTAACCTCCCTAGCGGTATTCCCGAGTGTAGATCGGGGTAAAGTTTCAGTACCAAAAGCGGTAACAACGAGCTACACTCGGGCTTACCATGCGGCGTTGCACAGGGATTCCCTACAGTGCTTACCTTGTCCTTCGCTCCCGCGATGCGTCCACTGCATAATAAGAAGACCAAGAGAGTGTTAGGGAACACCAAGTGTAGTGGATGCAGCTCCTCTCAGATTAGGTCTTGAGATTCAAATTTGAATTCTCCACCGCTTGCACATATGCTAACAGACAACATGCTTACAGGAGAAAAGAGCAGAGTGGGACAAGACCTGGAACAATTGACAATGCAGCTTATTAGATGACATCCAAAACTCAATTCAGTCCCACCCTTGAAGGTTAGAGTTTTGTCTCCTATATTCTACCATGTGGCATATTTTTCAGTATGTCTTTCCTTCTTTGTACATTGTGATTCTGCTGATCTGACTGTAAATCGAACAGAACATAGAATACACAAAAAAAAAATATGCAGCATGCCAGTGACTGTTGGTCTCAAACAAACCATATTGTGATTGTTATTATTTCTGTATTCAGTGCCAAGTAGAGGGAATATGAAATATTTGCAGAATGCAGTATAGTGAGACCTTGAGCTACAGTCTAATAGCGGTTTCAGTTTTAATGTGGATTTTACTCGCAGGCAATACAATAGATGTCTATTCAGAACAATATGCCATCATCCTGCTTTATCGGCACAATGGAAACTGTATGAAGGAAGAAAAACTGCAATTCATCAGCAAACACAACTTGCTGCTAAGGAACGGGGCATTTATCTTATAGTTCAGTGGTGAAAATTCTTAGCCTACAACGCTCAGAAACAATCTCCAGATTGTTGATGCATTGTAGACGGTAAATATTATGTAATATATGATTTTTAAAAAGTTCTTTGTTTCTATTTGTGATATATTGTGTGTCAATTTATTATCTAAATATATTTGGATTCCCCTAAATTACAAGATAAATTCACTTGAAATTACATTAGTGGTATGTGGAATCCTTTAACACAATCCAGATATATCAGGCTTTCTTAAAGCAAATGTGACAAGTATGAAGGTTTATAAAGTACTTTATTGAGTGCAGTACCACCGTGGGGCATGTTGGAATGGTCACCTTGACCAATCATGGGTTACTGCTTTCTGTGCTGCCATCTTGTCTATACCATGAGAGAGGGCTATCATTCTAGAAGCTCCATGCCAAAATCCTGTATATGTGCAGTGCCCCCCCCCCCCTCCCAAAGTAAATTCTTCTGCTGGCAATGCAGTCGAATTTTAGGTTCTCAGAATGAAAAGTACCAGCTATATCATGAACGGTATAGCAAAGCTAGCATCGGTGTGATTGGAAATGTATGCAGCTGACCAGGGGCAGTGTTAGCAATTGAATGCTGCTTTGCTGAGCTCTTATATTCACAAGTTGGATTCAAAATGAATGGTCCACAGAATGTTATGTGGAATGTTAGGAATACTTGCTTACATGTTTCCTTTCTTATCTATTCATCCCTGAACCCTTTCTTTCCAGAATACTAAAAAACCAAGGGTGCTTATGTGTTTTCCTTTCCTTTCTTTCCTTTCTTTTTCTTTTCTTTCCTCTTCCTCTTTCCTTTTATTTCCCTTTTCCTCTTTCCTTTCCTTTCCCTTTCTTTTTTCTTTTTCTCTTCTTTTCCTTTCCTTCCTTTCCTTTCCTTTCCTTTCCAGCGATCTATTTATTGCTGTACCTTTCTAGAATACTAAAAGACCAAGGGTGATTACGTGTTTCCTTTCCTTTTCTTTCCTTTCCTTTTCTCTTCTTTTATTTTCCTTTCCTTTCCTCTTTCATTTTCTTTCCTCTTCCTATTTCCTTTCCTTTCCTCTTCTTTGCTTTTGCATTTCCTTTCCTTTCCCTCTCCTTTCCTTTCCAGCAATCTATTTATTGCTGTACCTTTCTAGAATTCTAAAAGACCAAGGGTGATTACATGTTTCCTTTCCTTTTTTCTTTCCTCTTCCTCTTCTTTCCACTTCCTCTTCCTTTCCCTTTCTTTTTCTTTCCTTCCTTTTTCTTCCTTCTTCTTCTTTCTTTCTTTTCTTTCCTCTTCCTCTTTTTTCCTTTTCTTTCCTCTTCCTCTTCCTCCTTTCTATGCTCTTCCCCTTTCCTTTCCTTTCCTTCCCTTTCATTTCCTTTCCTTTCCTCCCTATCTTCTTCTGCCTTCCCCTTCATTTTTCCTTCATCCACCTTTCCTCCCTGTAAACAGTAAAGTTGGCCATACAATTGTCCATCTAGTTTATCAGTAACCAGCCAAAGTTCACTATGAAGTGGCCCTTTGGCAAACCTCCCACCCAACTTCCTTCAATTGCAAATTGTCTGCCGAACAACCATTGCATCCAATCAGATGCAGCAACTGGATATTGGATATACTGACAGCTGCTTGTGCTGTCAGTTAGAATACAATAGCTTTGTCATCTGCACTGTATAGCATGTATAGCGGAATCCAGTCGATTGTTTTCGATCAGGCTGTGGCCAGCTTGACTGTGCTTCACAGATAATGGACACAGTCAGCGGACTGTGATCAACTATGGGATCTTTACTAATATGTAACTTTGTTTCCTATTTACACATGATGCAGTAATTGTATGTATACAGTCTAAGTACAGTTATTAATCACTGGAAAAATCTTCTGGGAAGAAGCTCAAATCTTTGTCCACATTTCATTTTTAGCCGTTTTTTTTTCTACCTTCCCCTGTGACCTTTCTTTTCTCTTTCTTCCTTCCTTCCACTCTATCTTTCCACCAAACTCCCATTCTTCTTCAATCCCACCTACCTTCCTCCCTATTCCACTTCATATTTTTTTTTCATCCAACCTTCCTCCTTTGAAACAGTAAATTTGGCCATAAAATTTTCCATCTGGTTTATCAGGAACTGGCCAAAATTCATGACCCTGTCACCACCCTCCTACCCAACATCCTTCAATTGCAAATTGTCAGCTGAACAATCATTGCATCCAATCAGTTAGGTGCTGTCTGGGTATTCTGACAGTTGCTGCTGCTGGCAGTCAGAATACAATAGCTGCTGTGAGAGATTCATCCATTCCCACTGCACAGCATGTATAGGGGAATCATTTTTTTTCCTAAATGATGATGATGGCCATACACTCAATCTTTACTAATATGTAACTTCATTCCTTACTCACACACGAAGCAGTACATGTATACAAAAATGTGTATATATATATATATATGTATAACTTGCGAGCCAAAAAAAATTTATAATGTGCTTCAATGGATCGCCAACATTTAACACATAACTCAAACTGTGCAAACTAATTGTATACCTATAAATGTAGCATTCCCTAATACCACAATAGTAAATAAATATATAATTTCATCTGTGATAACATACACCATAAATTCAAAATTAAATATAACAAATAAAGTGACAGTGATTAAAAATCAAACACTAAAACTGTGATTATTAGCAAAGTATTCTTAATAATAGTCCCATCAATCAATAAACAGTCCAATAATAGTGATAAAGTGATTCATAAATCATCAATTGGTGACTTTCCGTGAATCCTCCAACCAGTAAAAATGTGCGCTCACCTCCTTCTATGCCTATAAAATAGGCTATATACGCTTGTGGTTCACAAAACCTGGCACCTGCCAGAATAGTTGCAGTATAGAATGGATGTGAGGTCCTTCCTACGGATGACAAGGCTAACCCCTTGTTTGCTGGATATCCCTGCAGGGATTAATCCCTCCTTCAGCTGTTAGAGATCACTTGCTTTACTCCTCTCCTTGCTGCTCTTGATTTCTTCACATGTGTGTTTGGCAGAGGTGAGCACAGACAAACACACATGTGAAGAAATCAAGAGAAGCAAGGAGAGGAGTAAAGCAAGTGATCTCTAACAGTTGAAGGAGGGAGTAACCTCCTTAGCGGTGTTCCCGAGTGTAGCTCGGGGTAAAATTTCTATACCAAGAGCGGTAACCCTGAGCTACACTCGGGCTTACCATGCGGTGTTGCCCAGGGGGTCCCTGCAGCACTTACCTTGTCCTTCGCTCCCACGATGTGTGCCCTGCAGCGTCCCCGGCCATCTCCTCCGGCCCATGCCGGCATCCGGCTTCTGTGTTCCGGTCCCTGTGACGTTGGGGCGTACGGCGGGAAATTTGAAATTTTTAAAAAATGTCATTTTTGCTGTCATTGCTGTTTCAATGCATTTCACATATATTTTGTCCCTACTGCTTTGTCCTGTGCCCTGCCTGCATTTTGAATGTTCTTTCTGCCTGGAAACTTAGAAAGGTCCATGGCGTCCAAAAAGCGTCCCTTTACGTCGGTTTTTAGAACAGCAATGGTAAATCAGAACCACTTGCAGAATTGAGTGATAATGATCCGTGGGGAAATTCGTCATCAGACACTGAAAACGATTTTGCGACTTTGCTCAGCAATATGCGAACTTGGTGCTATATTTCAAATTTCAGTGTTTTTGATTTGATTATATTATTGAATTAAATTTATTATTATTATTATTATTTTTTTATGATTATTAATTAAATTATAATTTATGATTTTGTGTTTCAAGTTTTATCATACCCGGGATGTTTACTAGACTCTTGTTCGGACAGATTTCAGTGAGTTATTCCTAAAAATTACAGCCTACAATAAAAAAACTACATATTTCCATGCAAAAAAATGGTACCGCTTTCAGCACAAAAAATCGGAAAGAATCATACCGCCGAGGAGGTTAATCCCTGCAGGGATATCCAGCAAACAAGGGGTTAGCCTTGTCATCCATAGGAAGGACCTCACATCCATTCTATACTGCAACTATTCTGGCAGGTTCCAGGTTTTGTGAACCACAAGCGTATATAGCCTATTTTATAGGCATAGAAGGAGGTGAGCGCACATTTTTTACTGGTTGGAGGATTCACGGAAAGTCACCAATTGATGATTTATGAATCAATTTATCACTATTATTGGACTGTTTATTGATTGATGGGACTATTATTAAGAATACTTTGCTAATAATCACAGTTTTAGGGTTTGATTTTTAATCACTGTCACTTTATTTGTTATATTTAATTTTGAATTTATGGTGTATGTTATCACAGATGGAATCATATATTTATTTACTATTGTGGTATTAGGGAGCGCTACATTTATAGGTATACAGTACATGTATACAGCCGAGCTAATAAACAATAGGAAGAAATGCTTCTGGGAAGAAGCTCAAATCTCCATCCATAATTTTTATCTTTAAGCTTTTTTCTTTATTGAACCCTAATAAGTGCCTTTGTTGTACACATACCATATCTCCCCATTTCCAGACATTCTTCTGATTCCAGCCTCTTATCAGAGATTCTCAATACACAATATATGGAGACTCAAGTGAATTGGCTCCCCTTCCTCTTAATGTATTATGCTGTCTTACAATACAATGTGAAATGCATTTGCATTTTCTTGAGCTCATTGCCAGAGTGATATTATGTGTTCCTTTATGTGTTCCTTTAAATCTTCTTGAATTTCTTCTCTCTGTTTAGTAACTTTTTTTAAAAATGTTCCATTTTTGGACTGACAATGTGCAGGCTCTAAGAACCACAATGGCAGCAAATATTAGAGATTTATAAAGGGATTTGCATCCACAGAGCAACACAATTACACATGTAAGTATGTTCCTGATATGTGAACATAAAAGTACTCTCTAAATTGCCATTTAGTTATGGAATATTGGTAGTTTTACACACCAGTACAGATAGCTCAGTTCTCACAACAAATGTCTCCATAAACTGCCTATACAGAAATACAGTGCATATGAATATATTATTAATATATACTGCAGGGACTCAGTAAAAAGAACTGTGATGTAACTGAAATACTGGATATTGTCAAAACTGCACGCTAAAAACTGTTACTCAATGGGTTCTTCCAGTTTAAAGTGTTACTAAACCCAAAACAGTAAAATCAGTCTGTATATGCAGTAAAGCATGCTTTTTATACTCACTGTGGAACCTAAGGGGTTAATCATCTGCAGTGTTTAAAATGGTTGTTTAATCCTGTCTTCTCTGATCCCCCCCCCCTTCTTCTACTATCCCCAATCCATCTGTTGATAGAACAGAGCCTTGGAGGGAAGCTGCATATGCTCATTTTGATGTGTATTGCTAGAGAGTTTTTTTTTTATTGTGAGAGTGCATGTGATCAGCTCAGGGCCAATCCGCACTGTCCAGACAGAGGGTCAGGAGTCATGCAGCCTCATAGGACAGTCAGGGGAGAATGAAAACACTTCCTACAAGCTTTAACCAGTGCTCTGCTGGACACTGATAGAAGTCACAAGACTGCTCTAACTGTTGATGAGAAAAGGTATTTAGCAGTTTACATTTACTGAAATAAGTGCATTTCTATGTTCTGTGTACGACCAGATATAGTGAATGCAGGTTCATGGGTTTAGTAACACTTTAAGTTCACCTTTTTTGAAACAACAAAAAGGTGAACTAATACCCAACACCCTCCTCACCTCCTCTTGGTCTCTGCTGTACTTACCTCCATGGGTGATGAACTCTCAATTCCCACACAACTGGTCTAGCGGTCTGGGGATTTGAAACCCCAACTCATATTCCCCTTGTTCCCCTTCTTTCTATTGCAGGATGGATCACAGTGATTCTGCATGTTTATTCCTGTTTTCACATAAAATGGGGACACACCGAGCTATTTCTCATTATTATACAATGAAGGAGCCCAGTTTCTAAAACTACATAAAAAAAAGCCATCCTAACCAATGTGTAGTTGGCTAATTTGGATGCACTGGATGCCTTTGCTGTCATTTTGGTATAGCTAGGCGTCATGTTCATCCCTCTACCTTTGAGGAGGGATGGGCTCCTCCTGCTCTTAACCTTTCCATTGATATATGTGCTCCTACTATGGAGGCTCTGGAAATTTTAGAGTTAGGTCCATAGTATACCGAGGATCCTTGACGCGGGACTGTGGCTTTGTATTTGCTAATGTGTGCAAACAAAACCCTCTGTTTTTAACACAAACTGATAGACAGGGACAAATTGGTTGTTTTGCAGGCTGGCTGGTAAGTATTGCTGGGAAATCCTTTGTTTGTTTGCGGTTTCTAAAACTTTCACATAGGGGAAGTTAATAAAAGAACCATCCAACACTTTTCTGGCACTATGGTCCTTTAAAATGGCCTACACCAGATTCAAAATTCCCTACATCCATTTCAGGAACTGTAATGACACATACAACAGATTCAGATAGTTCTTAAAGCAGAGGTTCACCCAAGAGAGGAAGTTCCACTCTTCTTCCTCGTCACCCTCTCTTGACATTTGAAATAAACTTTTTTGGCGGGTTCCTGGTTTTGTAGATTTTGTAGACCCATTCCCAACACAACGGATCCACCAGAAGTTCTCCTCCCCCTCTGCCCACAGTCTTCTGGGACACGTCACAGGTCCCAGAAGGCTGTGGGACCATTCACAAAGCACAGTGCGGCTCGTGCATGCGCAGTGGAAAGCCGGCTGTGAAGCTGCAAGTAGACACAGCCGGCTGCCCACAGTTAACATGCCGGTACTGGGGACCCGGGTGAGGACAGCGCTGGATCCTTGGACAGGTAAGTGTCTCTTTATTAAAAGTCAGCAGACACAGTTTTGGTAGCTGATGGCTTTTAATTTTTTTTTTTACAGAACAGAAGCTCCTCTTTAATAACATCACTTAATAATGTCTATTAATGTACCTAATTCAAACATAATTACCTCCAGTTTGTAGATAAGGAACCCACAGGTAATTAAGACCAAGTATAAGCTGGTGCACAGGGATAGTTCTTGTCTCTGCATGTGGCTTAGCAAAGCAGCATATTTCCTGCCGCTACCCCCTCCCTGTTCACAGCTGGAAGCCTCCTACCAACCAATGAGGCTACATGCACACTAGGCGTTTTCATAACGCTGGTAATGTTAGCTGTCACAAGTTTTTCAGCTTTTTTTAGCATTTTTTCATTAACGTTTAGTGGCGTTTTTCCGCAATTAGCGGCGTTTTCCCACGTTTTTCAGTGTTTGCCCTTTTTTTACCAAAAAAGAAAATTGGGGGGGGGTCAAAAAAGTCCAAAAACGCCGGTTTGTGGCATTTTACCAAGTTTTACTGCGTTTTGCTGCGTTTTTTCAGCATTAGAGCATTTTTACAGCTAAAAAAACTCCTCTAGAAACCCACTAGTCCTGAGTTTTTTCCAGTCAAAACACGTCCCTGTCAAAAAACGTTGATTCCAGTCTATGTGTGCTTGGACACATAGGATAACATGCTGGGAGGTTTACTGGCTGTAGAAAAAAAATGTCAAAAGCCAAAAACAGCCGCTGTAAAAACATCCAGTGTGCATGAGGGCTGAAGCTGCAGCGGGTGAAGTCTGATGAGGAAGCTGAGACAATAGTTCCCCATAAGGTACACTCTCCTTGTCATTGACAACAGCAAGTGGGTGGATAATGTAGCTAATACCACACTTCCTGCTGTCAATCACAAGTAGAGCAAACCTGATGGGGTACTATTGTCTTTAAACCCCCTTAAGGCTCCAATACTGCCCACTAGTGCACTGTCTGTGTGACAGCAGCATCAGCAGGCATGAAGCACACTCCAGCCTCAGTGCACCTCCATGTGCGGTGCATGCCCCATATTCATGTAGCAGTCTACAGCAGGTACATGAATCAGTCACCTGCACTGACATCTGTCACGTACAGGCACCTCGGAATACTAAAGAATGTCTTAGACACTCTTTATGAAGTCTTCTGACAGTGTTCAAATCTAGTTTGCAACTGATAATAGATATCTGCCAGCACAGAGAGAGTAAATTATAGTACACATTAACTCCCCAACTGCTTTGCATTCCACAGAAAATTTTTCTTTAGGAGTAAAGTGTCAAAGCAAGTAAATAGCTAAGCGGAAAAATTTTAATTAAAATTATTTTTTTTTAATTTATGCTATGTGAGTGAAAACATGTAACAATTACAGTAGAAAACACATTTTCTCAGATTTAATTCAGCTGCAATTAATACTTACAGGCCTTTTCCCTCCCCTGCCTGTGATTAGACAGGAAAAGGAGAAGTGGCAGACTGATAAACTCTTCTCTCTGTCACTCCGCTTTCTTCTAATAGCATGCTCCCCATTAGCTAAGGAGGAGTACTGCAACACACCTGATTGGCTCCTCGGGATGCTTTCCAT